CATTCTGAATGTAAAAATAAAGGAAAAAAGTGTGCAAGACAATAAGAAACACTACCTGCCAAAAAAATGAAGTTTTGTTGAAATCGGTTGAAAAATGCAGGAAATCCGATCCCATATATAAACGAACACACACACACACACACACAAACAAACAACCTGGGTTTTATAATAAGTATAACCAGATATGAGTTGTCCCCCTTTCATTCTCAACAGCGATGCCTCTTAATCGTGTTTTTAAATTGATTTCGTGCAAAAACAATTGTGTTTTTCCAATTTTCGGCGCTGTCAGAACCACCGCAAGGTAATTTTATGTAGTCCTGTGAAGTTGTGTTGAAATCGGTTGAAAAATGTAGAAAATCCGATGCAATATATAAACGAACACACACACACACACACACACACACACACACACACACACACACACACAACCTGGGTTTTATAATAAGTATGATATTTGCCACCCCTAGTAGCTTATCAGAGTAATGGATAGCGGCTCGGATTGAGGAATCGGAGAGCCGAGTTCGAATTCCAGTCGAATCAATTATATTCATATATGTGCTAATACCCTTGGGAAAGGTATGAATCCTCTTCTTCTCCCCGCCCCCGCCTATCGGTAAATAATAGCAGGACAAACTGGGTTCTATAGACTTGGATGGCAACTGGTCTACCTCAGAAAGTAATGGCAACCTACTGCGGGAAAATCATCTGCTTTGTCAGTCATGTATCGAAAGATACATGATCGCCTACGCGTGTATCACGCATGGCACATAACTGAGTAGCTTATCTGAGGTAAATCTATTGCAAGTTTAATGTATTCAGTTTGAATCAGGCATAAGATGGCGTGATGGTTATCGAGTCCAAAATCGGAACTGGATTCGAATTATGTTTAAAACATATTTTGTCACTTCATCACCCATATCCATGTGAAAGCCATGAATCTCACTTTCTTAGCACTTAGTCCCGTCGCCAGTTATCTTCATCCTAATCTTTGCAGTAGCAATGACATTGTTGAATAAAATAAAGGCTCAGTACGCATATAGATATATTTCTATGTCATAATTATCGACCCAGTTTGCAGTCTTAGCTTTTACAGTTAAAATGGCTAGATGTAACTGAAAGTTCTATGCTAACAGTTTCTTTTCTCGCACTTCTCGCTTGTGAAAATTTTTTTCGGCTCGTTAGTTCCCAGTCAGCATTGCTCTTCAAAAATGTAAATACATTGTCAATCGTTATCTTCTGTATTCTTACGTGTTGTTCTTTTATTGCTCTTTCTCTTTAATAGTATATCTTGCGTCTCAGGGGCTCTATTGCTTTGCTTGGGGTGAAATGATTAAAAACTCAAATCAGAGACTATCTACTGCTAGAGATACCATTTTATTTTCTATTACCTGGTGGGGGTGAAATGTGCATCGACAAATAAGATAAATCTCCCTACTTAAATAATCTTCAGGGTAAAATTATCCGATGCTCCCAACCGAGTCCGCTTTGATAAACTATTGTCAAATACGATATCTTATTTATTTACACTATCATGATGGTAGATTTGTCATTAGTCACAATTAAATGCTCTTGCTGTGAAGGACAGAATGACAAAATATTACGAAGGAAAAGCCGACAGATCATGACATCCTACTGTGGCAAAATAACGTAAAGGACGCGATGATAGATTTTGACAGCCAGTGCACTTTTGGTAAAAATTAGCCTTAAGGACGACACGTCAGCATTTGACAGCTTAGTTAGCAGTGAAAACTTGTCGAACTCTTCTGATCAGAGAGCTAACTTAATAGAACGTTTTTTTTCTTTACACAAAATCATCATTTTGACTATTTTTTTCTGTTCAATTAATTTTCTTCCTTTTGTTATTTTTCTATATTGGTTTTTATACCTTAACTATCTGTTCTTCACGTAAAGAAAGAATTCAATCAATAGGACTTTCACCCGAGTACTAATTTAATTTATCAAAGATTTGTTTTTATTTTTAATCAGATTGTGATTTTACTTTCGCACAAAGTTTATTGATATTTTGGATTGTAAGAATAATTATTTTTTTTTTGCGAGTTAATATTGTATTATGAGTTTTTATTAGAACGACAATGTTTTCCAGATACAAATCCTACTATTTAATCCATAGCTGTAGGTGGAGATTCAGCCATACCTTTCTTAAGGAACATTTGCACGAAAGTAAAAATAACGAACCCGATCGGAATTCGAACTCAAGGCGCTGATTTCTCATTTCGAGTCACTATCCATTACAATAATTGCACAAGGACATCTGGGAAACGTACATTCAATTCTGTTGCATCATTTGGTTTCTCGCATGCCACAATGGCAGACAGTTTACAATCAGGTCAATTATGCTTACAGTGTATAATGTAAACCATGCAATATTTTTTCCTTAATGGGTACAAAAATAATCCCTTGGTCAAATGAAATGCAACGAAGGACAAAATGCTAAACCCTGAAAACCTAGTCCCGTATGGCAGCGCAATAAACAGAGCACGCTCTAACGTTTGTTTTTATTTTAATTCTCTTGACGTAAATCATTTTTCTTTTTTTCCTTTGTAATATTATTTTGTTTGTAGAAGAATGATTGTTAGTTTTTATTCTGGGGACATCTGATTCGCTATTATTTTCTATGCTTTTTTTTTTCGAAACGAAGATTTATCTGAGAGTAATATCTGGGGACTATTTTTAAGAATTTATCTCTTGCACGATTTGAGATTTTCTCATCATTGTTAATCCGTTTGTCCTCTATGTACAGTTTAATCAAACATTTTTTTAGTTTTTTTGTTATTTTTTTATGATAAATATGTTTTTAATATCGGCATTTGCATTTGGTTCACGTCTTCATCTTTTTGGTATCAAGCCAGTAACTAATTCACATCATTTTACCGTCTCTTTTATTTTCCACGGTACCATCATTAAATTCATTTTGGGGTTTCAGCCAGATATATTTTTTCCTGATAACTGCCGTGAGAAGAAAACATTAATCACTTGTTGTGTTTCATCCACCTTTGTTCTGTCTATGTTTTCTGAGAAATCCTGAAAACCCTATATATATATATATATATATATATATATATATATATATATATATATATATATAGGTCAGCAGTGAATGGTGTCTTTCGTTTTACACTTATGCCTGGTAGTAGGAGCTATTGTGGAGAAATCTTTCCTTACCTGATTTTTCTCTACAATAGGCTGGGTTAGTAAAGCACTTAAGAAAGCAATGACTTCATTTGTGCTTTCTTAAGTGCGATACTCACGCAGCTTTGCTGCCGGCGACAAAGCCACACTGACAAATGAAATTTGTTGAAGGAGGATTTTGATCACGGTGCTTCAGTCTACTGTCTTCAAAACTCTTTAACTTAATGTCTTACGTCACTCCCTTGGACTTCTCAGGTTTTCAGATCAAAGTTGAGACGTTTCAAGTTGTCCTTCCAATTTGTCTTTATAGCGTAAGATTGGGCGTTCAACTGGACGCTTGGAGTTTGTTGGTTGTTGTCCATACAGCACATTTTTCGGAAGCCTACGCCCATCCATTCTCACAACATAACCAGCTGACCTAAGTTGTAGCTTTGCTAGAATGGTTTCAATGCCTGTGATGTTGTGTAACATTTCTTCAGTATTGCACTATTCTTAACCCTGTCATCCCATTTTATATCACATATGGCACGAAGAAAGCGCATGGGAAAGGCGTCAAATCGGTTTATGTCCTTACGGCATAGGGTGCAATTTTCAGCACCATAGACAAGGCCGATCTGTATATGTCGTTCTTTACGTCTTTGGTGTTCCATAACCTATGTTTAAGATTACCGATTACTGTGCTGGCTTTGGCTCACACCCTTTCACTGTCGAAACTGTTAAATGTAGCCGTCTCTTCTATTCCAATAGCTTCATGTCTCGCACTTCTCGCCTGTGGAACTCACTCCCCTTTTTCTGTTTCCCTGATAGCTATAACCTCCAACTATTCAAATGTAATGTCAATCGACGTCTCCAGATGCCTTGATCTATCCCATATCCTTCTCTTCATCCTTTCCTCTGTCACTCCTCTTTGCTCTCGCTCCAACTCTCTGTAATCCCTTTGCGTGCTAGGGGCTTCTTGCCTTTCTTCCCACAAATTATTACGTCGTCCCTAGCATAATATATATGATATCTCGAATCACAAGATTAAGACAATATCCCTCCAGATTTGTCACTTCGTGATTATTATTCACATCACATAAAAACATTTATGTTGAATTCTGATCACTCTTTTTCCGTGAAATATACATCGAAGAATTTAGGTTAAATAATTGAAATCAATTGACGTTTTTTTCCAGATCAAATGTAGAATGAACAACTGGAATAATTGCCAGTTCGTACTTTGTTTTTCATCCACGGGCTTTTAAACAGCCCGACTTCTACGAATGTAAAATTATAGTCTTCATTAAGAAAACTCCAAATTTCTCAAACAGGTATTGACAAAGAGAGCAATTTTGTATGTTTTATTATTCGCTAATTTAAAAAAAAATCCCAGCATTCATTTTCAGTCAGTCATGTCATTGAGTTATTTTGCATTTCCTGTAGGTTGTTTCATATTTATTGCTTTGTAACAATATACGTATACAATGTCAATAACGTATAACACTGTCGGGAGTACATGCCCAAATTTATTACACTACAGACACACACAGGCACACACACACAGGCACACACACACACACACACACACACACACACACACACACACACACACACACACACACACACACACACACACACACATGTACTGATTTGAGGAATCTGGGAAATTTTCAGCGTCAACATGTATATATATATATATATATATATATATATATATATATGTCTGTGTGTGGTGTTTTGTTTTTGTATGGTTTTTTAATCCTATAAAGCCGGAAATATAAGTGAATATAACGAAACCAACTGGAATTGGAACTCTGCTCTCCGATTAACAATTTCGAGCCATTATCCATAATACCATCCGCAAATCCAAGCTTACATCACATGGCATTTGCAAGTGGTCATTTATCGAGGTACTAACCCGGTTTGACGTTGCTTAACTTCGGTGATCGTACGAGAACCGGTGTTTCAACATGATATGGCCATAAGGCCCTGGTGTTCTGCGAAATCCTTCAAAGAACAACGGGTGTAATATATACTTCTTTCTTTTTTACTTTATAAAAAGTAACATTACATTTATCAAGAAAGGAAAGAAAACTTCATTTTTAAATTCGATATAAAAAACGTGTCCTCCACTTCTCTGCAGGTGACCAACGATCTTTCGTTTTGCATCTAAAATTCATCTGTCAACATTATCTCCTGCTGAGTCGGGACTGTGACTAAAAACTAAACCACGTTAACTCTTAAGTAACAACTATGGCTGTCCATCAGAATTCCGATAGATATTTCTATTCTTTGAAAGGGTTTCAAATGGGGTCTTCGGTTTTTGGTTTAATTTTTTTTTATGTTTAAGAAAGAATAAAATTCAAAATTATTTCTTTTTTTTCTGTAACGTATTAAAATGATGTCTGTTAATAAATTCAATTGATTTATCTTTCTCCGATGTTTGCTAGCAGCCGGAAGAGAATTATTTGAAATTTATATATATATATATATATATATATATATAAAGTGAACATATAAGTCAACAATCGTCGTCCTGACGACAGTCTGTTTCATGAAACAGATCGTCGTCCTGAATTGTTGACTTTATGATCACTTTTATATTTACACACGCTCTATCTCTGATATTGAGCACTTTATCCCATAAATATAGCACACCTTAAGACTATATTTTTATATATATATATATATATATATATATATATATATATATATATATATATATATAAATATATATATATATATATACCTGATGCATTTACAAACTTTGTGGATGGGTTTTCAACACCAAAACAAGGATGAATCTCCATACAAACATATCACGGTAAATCCTTCGTTTTTTAGTTAAGTTGAAAGAAAATTACGGTACATTGAGTTAGGTTACATTTACATTCCAGAATATTTGTGGCTAATCAGTCTTCACCGTTTAACATGTTTAGTAGTGAGTTAACTGAGAGGTTTTCGTTTAGCAATAGTAGGGTATTCATATCGTGAGCAGGTAGATATAACTTTACATACGGCCGTGCGAATGGTAATGGACGCGGGGCTGCACGTCTATATCATACTGCGTTTAACGACCGAAGGCAGCAGAGTCATCCGACCTTTGCTGCTGTTTATACTCGCGTTGCTGTGACAAGGTCTGTGGCACCACAAACTATAGTAATAAGCATTTGGGGATTGTATCTTGGATTGTATATTTTACCGTAAACTTTAAACTTAAATAGAAAGATATAATTAAATATATATATATATATATATATATATATATATATATATATATATATATATACATATATATATATATATATATATATATATATATATATATATATATATATATATATATATATATATATATATATACGTTTATATTTCATTAAAGACGACAGACAAGGTACTGCGATTAAGCATTTTATTTAATTTTTTTTCTTGTGTTTGAACAAATGTTTTCTTTTCTGGACACAGAGTGTGTAGAAACTGTAGGATAGTTATTGGTGTAGAATTTCAATTTCTGTCTTCTTTTAAAGAAATGGCAATTTGGCCCTAAATTTAGGAATTTTTTTTCGTCATCTGTTAATTTATGATTAAATAGGTTTATATATTTATCACTGCTATTGGGTAGTAGAGTGTTTCCTTGATGTAATTTACATAGCTTTTCTGCGATTATTTGTCAGTGTGTAAGTTGGTGTTCATTTATGCTAAGGTTGAGGTGGTACAAGTCTTCGTTATATTCGGGTTCGGTTAAGGTGTGTTTTTAGAGTCTCGTTATGTTTGTGGATTTCATTATTGTTGTGGCCTGTTTAGGGGCCAGAAAAGAAAGACACGGAAGACGAAGGTCGGTTGAACAAGTGTATTGAAATAACAGATATATACAAAACAAAAGTGTTAGTAATAAGCAGATAAAAATGAATGTCCGAACGATCAGGTTTTACTGCGTCTCGGCTGCTCAACGACTGCATAACGACTCTATATTTAACAGTCCCCCCACGAGGAATGTATGTGGCACAAGGCCAAGTTTAACGTGGGTTTCTCTGAGACCGTAAGCTCGGCCAAAAATATTCCTTTTGAACCTGTGTAAGCGGGTTCGGGATCTGTCTACCTCCCCGGACAAAACCTTGCCCTTCAGCAACGCTTCGTCCGGGTTCGTCTCTGTTAAAGCTGAGAGCTCGACAGAAGTTGCACACAGTGAGAGACTGCTCAACGACTCTATATTTAAACGTCCCCACCACGAGGAATGGATGCTAGTTTGACGTAGGTTTCTCTGAGCCCGTAGGCTCGGCCAAAAATATCCCCTTTGAACCCGCATAATTGGATTCGGGATCTGTCTACCTCCCCGGACGAAACTTTGACATTCAGCAAAGCCTCATCCGGGTTCCTCTCTGCCAAAGCAGAGAATTCGACAGAAGTCGCACACAGTCAGAGACTGTTCAACGACTCTTGCTAGGAATTTATCAGAGGAGAAAGAGTTTATTCTACTGCAGGAGGGTTTATCCCAACAATTATTTAAATGTTGGGTGCCATTCATAGTTGTTTTTATTTGCCGTAAGATGATTTTTTTTCTGAATGTAATGGCTATCTTTATATATATATATATATATATATATATATATATATATATATATATATATATATATATATATACGTTTTTGCGTGTGTGTGTGTGTGTGCGTGTGTGTGCAACCAAATAGATTATTTCAAATGAAACCCCATTTTTTTTTTTATTTTATTATACAGACTAAATATTCCTCATCGTTTAGAACTTTATAGTTCACTTCTTGACAAGTTTAACCGTGCCCAAAACTTACAGTTGTTATTTTTGCTTTTCTGTCGGATGTCCATCTTTCCGATGCAATGCCGCCATTCTAACCTTGAAGGTTCTCAACCAATTTCCTAACACCATCATTACCAGATATGATGCCGTGCAATCTTCATGGCGTGTCGTGATTATGACACTGCTCCATCCGCACAACTTGCTAATCCGTAAATTATTCGCGGTTCAAACAGATAATTTCATACCTGATTATCAGTAAAGCCAGGAAGAGAAGAGCCTCCTGTTGCGTGTCTACATTATTACCTCGTGAGTTTTCCAGACGTCTATGGCTGACGTGTCCGTCAAACATAATTCGACATCCATTGCTTGGCATCTGTTTCACTTCTTCATTTTGAAGACGAACAAAGGTCTCCATTGTAACATACATTTACATATACTGTGCATCTAACTCCGTGTCTTCTGGTGTCTAATTATTTTAAGATGCTCCTGACCTTTTCTTGCGGGGCCGGGATGTCGAAGTGAGACTAGGTGTAGCAAAGTGAATAAGCTGTTCAAAATAGAACGACTCATTTACATATACTGACGTGACGAAACATAATCGAGTTATAATTTTTAATTCGGTTTAATTTAGTTACTTACTCATAATCCGATATTATAAGTAGCGGGAAATAAAGATACCCATGTCTGAAAAGAGATGACAGCTCGAGAGCCGACGCAGCGTTAATTGTTAAATGCAAATGTATAGTTGACAGAATGTCTCGCTCTATAGTTATATTTAACAATCTAATCTCTACTGTAGTGAGTTAGATCCTCACTGGGTGCTTAAAACATTTCTAACCTAGTAGACTCTTTCCTGAGTACTGAAATATAATGGCCTTATTCCAAATTAAGCTAAATTTAATAAATATCAATGCATAGTTGCGATAAGGTTTTCTTTGAAATTGATTTTTTTTTAAACATTTCACCCCAAGCAAGGCGGGAAGCCACTAGGACACAAGGGGTTACAGAAAATTTGGAGCAAGATCAGATAGGAGTGATAGAAGAAAGGATTAGGAGAAGGGCAGTGGATAGATCAAGGCAGCTGGAGAATAGCTGGAGATTATGGCTCTCAGGGAAACTGGAGTAGGGAAGGGAGTTCCACAGGCGAGAGGTGCGAGACATGAAGCTATTAGAGTAGAATAGAAGGCTTCATTTAGGAGTTTCGACAGTGAAGGGGTGAGAGCGGGATGCCAGCCTCGTAAGGCGCTGGAACTCATGACGTCTGGGAACCAGCGAATGCAGCTCCTCGGAGCTATTTCCATGAAAGTATTTGAAGAACAGACAGAGGGGGGCGACGACGCGTCTGTGAGAAAGTTACTGTAGACGAGATGGCAGGGCAGGGCCAACCACATTGCATATCCGCCTCTGGAGACTATCAAGAACCCCGAGGCAAACAGAAGGGGCACCAGACCATATATGGCAGCAATACTCCATGCAAAGGGCGAATTGTTGATTTATCCTCAAGTTTTTTAAACAGTGCTAATGGTTTGATCCTAAATAAATATCCATATTTTCAATTAATGATTTTCAAAGTGAACAAGTCTGCCGATCAAAGAAGATTGGCGCAATACAATCTTGTTCTCACTGTTCTTACCATTAGTTAATTTCTCTTTATCCGAGTTAATTTTTATTCTATTATTCACACAATACAATGCCCAAAGAGCCACTCAAGGTAGAGCTTTATTTAATGGTGCTTTTTTAGGGATGTAAGAACTGTAGATTATTAGGATATGTCGGATAGATATAAGGTAACCTTAGAATTGAAGAGATTAACATTGTAGTGTTCAGGAAAGCATCCTCTTGGGGGTTTGTTCCCCAAAGCAACGGTCCTTAGAAATACACTGTTAGAATCGAACTTCTTTCTTATCAATGGAACATGAAGATGGTTCGGCCCCTGTGCGCATGACAAGGCGGGTCTTATCTTTAATGTTATGAATTCAGGGAACTAGGGAATGTAGCTTTTCAGAACATTTCCATGTAAATAAAGACAGGGTAACAATAGGCTTGTGACATTGAGTCTTTGGGCAAACGGCTTTAGGGTTGAAAATAATTTATTATGTACAAAGCAGCAAAGAGATTATTGGTCAGTTCCAGCCCAAATATCGCTACAATACTCCATTTTTTTTATCTGATCTGACTCGTTTAAAAAATAGAGCATGGCAGTTGGAGGCAGG